TTGTGAGATATCGCTAGAAACGCCAACGCGTTCTTTGTAGATGCAACAGAGTGAATGAACAGTTGTGCACGGTACAGTACTACTGACAGGAACATGCCGAACAACTGAACCGTTACATCTGCCTAATAAATAGCTCATTGGCAGTTATGCACAGCCACAGCCGGAAGCTGTGGCCCGGCCTTCATCGGCATGCCGAAGGCCGATATCGTCGATCGCTTCTAGCTGGTTGACTGTTGCACTGCTTGCATGATTATTAATAGTCCGTTACAATCATAACGCTGGTGTTGTTCTCTTTTATAGATCAGCGGACAGCAGACCGAAATCCAGATGGAATGTACAATAATAATGTACAACAGCAGAGCATTAACAAGCAACGGTACATATCTGTGCAATGTGCATATGCTGATTTTCCGTACATAAACTCTGTGGTACCGCTACAGTACAATAATAATGTACAACATCAGAGCATTAACAAGCAACAGCACGGTACTTACTGTACTACAATTTCAGTACTATGTATTGGTAAATCGCTACTGGCAAGCTAATCGGTTGTCGTTCGCTGTTTAACGTTTTCTGCTCCATGAACACCGGATAGCAGCCTGAATTCTAGATCGATCCAAAACAATGTAGTGTGGAACATATGTATTGTACACCGTTAATAAGCGATTTACTGTGGCCAATGTCAAAACGACGGCGGATTTTTTTGCCGGCGGAAATTTTTTGTGGTCAAAACGACGGCGGAATTTTCTGCCAGCAGAAATTTTGTGTGGTTAAAACGCCGGCGGAAATTCTGGTGGTCAAACTGCCGGAGGAATTTTCGTAATTTCATTTACTGTGCATATTTAAAAACAGTTTTGCAAAGAAAAATGTATCTTACATAGATTCGGGCGCCCCGTTATCAATATAAGCCTTTTATCGAGCCGCATGTATCTATGTACAGTCTGTATGGGCGCTGTTGCGTCGGCAGTTTGCACAGAACGCGCGAACAAGTTCAAGAGAATACCTGAGCCGCGCAAAAAAAGACAAACAAGGTGTTTGACAATGGCACTGCGGCGATGACACTGAGGTGTGATCTAGTCTGATCCCTTGGAGCCTTTCCTGGGAAGACTCATAACTTCTCTGAATAGAGACTGACACAGCCAACTCAGACGAAGAGCCTCTACGCGCAGAGATTTCGTGATCAAACTGCCGGCGTATTAGCTGGTTGGTATTTGACTTCGAGCACGTATGTATGTTTTTTTATCATTGTGTCTTCTGTTTGCTTGTGCTTTCTTTAATTTTTCAACTTCTTTAAAGTTGTAGCTCTCTTTTGTTATTGTTGACTGTTTATCTGCCGAACGATGAAGCATGTTTTGAAACTAGCAGTAGCAGAGTTGGTAGCTGTTGGCTCGCTGGCGGATTAATTTAGATCCGTCCAGCCAGTGCTTATAATCTAAACTTGTGCATGCAATTTTTACTTTTCTTACTATATTTTTGCACTAGTAGGCGTAAAATTTTTTGCTTGTTCTTTTGATACATTGCAATCCTCGTTGCGTTGAGTCTGTAAGATGTCGTCGACGAAATTCTCGCCTATGGAGTTTCACCATCTAAACATCCAGGGGCTGCCCTATGATAACTATCATAAGCTTGACTTGCTGTCCCATTATCTATGCATGGACGATAATGTTCCCAAGTTTTTCGCTGTTACTGAAACTCATCTCCGTCCTTCGGATCCTGATCAGTTATTTTCTATCCCTGGTTATTGTCTGTTTCGTAGTGATCGACCTGATATCCATGGCAAAACTCGCGGTGGTGGGATTCTGTGCTACGTACCCCAGCATATAACGGCTGAGCGTATCGAGCTGAAGTTTCGTTCTAAAGGGTTTGAGTGTCTGTGGTTAAAGCTATCTGTCTCTCATCGCAAAATTATTATTGGGACTGTTTACCGCCAGCCAGATTCAAATTCGTCTGAGACTAAAGGGCTATTTAATCATTTACGGGAAGTGCTGCTGAAATATCCTGACAGCGATCGTATTATTATGGGAGATTTGAATATTGATTCCGCCCCTGGTTCGTGTAGCCCCTATTTTAAATTGTACAGGGATTTTGTGGATGAATTTTCTTTCGAAGATAAGGTAATCGGATACACTCGGGTAGCTCAGCGCCTGAGACAATCTGATAATACCTTAATAACAACATCCAGTAAAATTGATGTTATTTTGCAGTCCTAAGAATTTTTACGTGTCGTGCCAACCATCAGATGTGACCACAAGCGGTGCAAAACGGTGTCCGCCTTTCAATGCGCGCAACCGGAGCATAGAGTGGTTTATTTTAGGGACTGGAAAGCGACTGATATTCAATCTTTTAAACGTCAAGTTTTTGAATTGATGAAAAAGTACATTAATTATGTTGATTATCCGAATGTCGATGAGGAAGTTTCGAATTTTATTGGTGGATTAACTGAGATAATTGATAGGTGCTATCCTTTACGATCGAAAGAGTCTCGAAGAGCAATGCACCTTGGATTAACAGCCATATTAAGCGTTTGATAAAGAAAATCTCGCATACAAGCGAAAAAAGATGTCGAAAAGTACTTCAGAATATGAAAGTAATTGTCGGCAATTTAAAAACTTGAAGCGAGAGTTGTTTACTGCGATGAAGAACGCTAAACGCGAATATTTCGAAAAAAACGTCCAAAATTCCAAAATGATGTGGCGCGAAATTAATCGTTTACGGGGAAAAAATAACGGTAACGCTGATCTGAACTACGATCTAAATGATTTGAACAAGCATTTTGCAACAATGGGGGAGCATGGTGAACGCCACCCCGTAGCTGTCATCCCGAAGGAGTCTGACACGGCGACATTTGCCTTTGATCAGCTTACTCCCGACGTGGTTGCTGACATGTTCGGTAAAATTCTAAGTAAGAAAAAATGTGCGGGGCCGAAAGGTGTTCCACATCAGCTCTTATCTGGAATTGCTCCCATACTTGTCGAGCCTATAACTCACTTAATAAATCAATGTTTTAAGAAAAATGTCTTTCCAGCAATTTTTAAAATTGCCGAAGTAATCGCGTTACCAAAATGCAATCATCCGGCAACAGCGGATGAATTTCGGCCGATCTCGCTGCTCTGTAATTTGTCAAAATTGTTTGAAAAATGTGCGCAATTACAATTGAACAAATTTATGAAAAAGGAAGATATCCTTGCTCCGAACCAGTCTGGTTTTCGGAACGGCCATTCATGTGAGACGTTACTTTTAAAGGTAACAGAGACCTGGAAAAAAGCCGTCGATAACAAAAGGTGTGTTGCCGTTGTATTCCTCGATTTAAAAAGAGCTTTTCCGTCAGTGTGCCATATGACTCTGCTAGAGACACTCCGCGATATGGGTGTAAAGTCTTCAGCGCTAACATGGTTTCATTCGTACCTGACCGGCCGCTCGCAACGTGTACGTCATGGCACCAAGTTTTCTTCGTGGGAAAACGTGTGGGCTGGCGTCTTACAGGGTTCCATACTTGGGCCGATTTTGTTTACGATTTACATTAATGCACTACTGAAATTGCGGTTTTCAAATGTGCGGTTAGAAAGTTTTGCTGATGACACCACCTGCTATGCTGTTGCCAACTCGAAAGCAGATGCAGCAGACGAACTAACGAGAGCTCTACCGGAAGTCTACGGGTGGCTCAAATCTAACCGTTTATACGTCAATGAGAAAAAATCGAAATTATTGCTAATAAGTTCAGCGCATAACCGCGAAACCAACGTAAGCGTTTCGCTGAACGGACATCGGCTGCTACCGGAAAAGTCAGTGAAACATCTCGGAGTGATACTGGATGAACATCTCAGTTGGACTGACCATGTTAAAAAAGTCCAAAAGAGTGTTCGGTACGGTATATCACTGTTAAACCGTGTGAAAGTCGACCTACCAGTGTCCCAGCGCATTGCGCTTTTCTATGCCTTTGTTCAGTCGCATCTGGACTACTGCTCTGCAGTGTGGAGCGGGGCATCTGTGCGCTTGCGTGATAAATTGGCCGCGATGCATCGTAACGGTCTCCGAGCGGCTGCAAACTACGCAAAGATACCCACGGAATCGTTCATGAAACAACATGGGATCTTGCCGCTTTTCACGAGATGGAAACATAAGGAAGCGATATGGTTATACAAGATCAAACATCCGGAAAAATTCCATGTGCCGCAGTACATCAGCGAGATGGTGGAATTTGACGACCGTATCAAGCCGTACAACCTTCGGAATAGAAACCGCATCCTGATAAAGGCGGAAGCGAAGAAGAAAGTTGGCGAGACGACCTTTGCTTGGAAGCTTAATAAATTGTGGACATTTTTTGTTGATTCTAAATTTTCTGATCTGTTCGATATTCGCACTATTGGTGCTTTTAAGCAAGCTTTGAACCGTGTCAGTTTTGTTTAAGGAGTCCTTTTCTGTCTATCTGTACTCGTACTTTTAGATTCTACTGTTTGGCCAGGTTTAAAATCCCAGCTAGTATGTCACCCTAGCCGGAAATGGGCTACCTGCTCCACGATGAATAAAAAAAAAAGAAGTTTGTTTGACAAGAATACACGCATGAATTATTTTACCAATAAGTTGGTTTTGTATAAATTTATGATTTCCGTAAAAAAATTCATATTCAGGAAATTCCGCCGGCAGTTTGACCACGAGAATTTTCGCCGGCGTTTTGACCACCAAAAATTTCCGCCGGCAGAAAATTCCGCCGTCGTTTTGACATTGGCCGTTTACGACCATACCGACAGAAGTACGTGTCAGGCCATACGGATCGTCAACGAACATGCTTCGCACTAATTGATCGTAAAAGCAAGAAGGCTGAAACAGGGGGAATTCGGCATTATTTTATCAAAAACAGTAAATTTTGAACTTTATAATTTAGACTTTAAAGAAACTGTCCGAAAAATTGAAGAACGCAGTTGTTAAAAAAAATAATCATTTTCTAAAAAGTACTATAAAACAACGAACACGAGCTATTTTGGTTGTCCTTTATCCGGTTTTCAATGCAAATTTTACTCTTACTTTCTTAGAAAGTGGACATGATGGATGCGTTGGTCGGTGTCGGACATGCTAACATTTTTTATTAGCTGTACGTGCTAAAGCGGTATTTTGTTAGCGAACTCAGTGACGACCATAAAGGGAATGGATTTACGGCGTATACTGAAGCGCAGGTAGGCGCGACACTAAATAATGGAGAATGATGCGTTTAAGCCAGTGATGACCACAGGTATTTAGCGAAACGGTTAAACGCGTCCCGGCACAGCTGATTGGGCGCGGAATAGTAGCGAAGATTGGCGAAGACCGCCTGCTCCGGGTTCCCATCGGACAGGACCACTTGATCTTTCTGGCACGCCGCCACAACGGCGTCCGGTTCCCAGTCTTCAGAAACCCCGCTTTCGACGACCGTGTTGCGCTGGGATAAAATATGCCGGTGCACGTTGCTGGCTATCTTCCGGCAGCGGAGACTGTTGTCCGATTCGAAGATCAACTCCGTCGCGTCAATAATCGTCGTGTTGTCGTAGGAAAATGTCGTAGCGGTCCCGTTGCAGCTGACCACCAACGGAGGCACCTCCGAGCAAATGAGGAACTCGTTGATCCATCGACTGATCGGAATCAATCCGACGGTTTCCGAAGCATCTCCCGTGTTTTCTTTCGGTGGTTGCGGGAACTTTTTCGTGTAGATGAACGTAACGAACTGCCGCAGCTTCGCTCGGCATTCGCCGCTCGCATCGATTGACAGCTTTAACTGGGTGACGCTCGCGGTGATTGGTTGGAAAACCTCGACCTTCCCTTCGGAGCAGTGAGCGGTTATAACCTCCGGGGAGCTTTCGCTGGAGTCATCGTGGGTGTTGCCGTCGGCCAACTTCACCAACTGGCCTTGGATGTCGTAGAGGGCGCTGCGGCAGTGTGAGCCATTGATCGCGGTGAAGATTAGCGAAGAAGCGTCGCTTTTATCCACATTCGGTTCGTTGGTCGTCATTTCGCCGGCAATGCTGCAGGTTATCGTGATGGGCGGGGCTTCGTAGCAGGCAGAAATAGTCGCGGTGTCAATTTTTGATGGACCTTAATACGAAACCAACGAATTAAAAATTCCTACGGGCATTTTTTTAAAGGCAAATTAGGCAAGTACTTCGATGTTTTTCACATTTGAAACGTTTTTGCTGTACGACTCTGCGAAACAAATGCCCGGCACAGAATTACTTTCTCCGTATTGGCTGATGAAACACCCCATGTTTCTACTGCAAAATCGTACAGCTAAAGCGTTTCGATTGCGAAAATTGTCGCAGTACTCACAACTGCGGAAGACATCACTGGTGAACTGGGTACGCGCATCCCAGCTAGCTCCGTTGCAGGAGAAGTATACACCGGTGTTGGTGTTGGGTTTGCGTAAACCGCGCATCCAGTGGAAGAAATCCTCCACTTCGCAGCAGCTACAGGTCGGCGACGTGACGCCCATACAGAAGCGGTTGGTGTAGAAGTTGAAGGTGTAAGATGAGGGGTTGCGGGGCCCGATGGGACGAAGGACGTCGTACGAGACGTTAGTCAGACCGTTGGAGTTGACGGCGAAGGACGAGAGGCGCAGGGGAAAGCTGCGACCGCTGCGGATCAGGGCGGTCAAGCCGGGATTCTGGCTGCTCAAGTCCAAAGAATTCTGCAACAAAAAAATAATTTCACCCACATAGTATTCCGGCACACGTCCATCGGTTAGAATTTTCATAACATTTTCCCAAAGTCATTACCAAAAAATGCCAAAAGGGTAGCACGTCAGTATGCCGACCTACAACTCGCTGCCCGACAATTTGCTGACCGACAAGCTGTTGACCGACAATTTGCTTTTCTGCGAAATTGTTGACCGACATTTTTTTGAAAGATTTTTGTTTACCGACAGTTTGCTTTTCGGTTCGATGCGCTGATTTTTGAGTTTTTCCCAATTTCTTGTTGTATTTTTTCAGGTTTCTTGGGGTTCTTAGGTTTCTTAGTTTTCTAACGTCAACAAAATGGCATCAGGAAGTTGCCGGTGTTCACAAAAAGTCGTTCAGCGAGATATCGTTCAGCGATTTGTCGTTTCAACAAACTGTCGCGTCATCGTTTCGTCGGTCAGCAAAAAGTCGTTAGGAAGTTGTCGGTCAGCAGGATAGTCGTCAGTGAGTTGTCGGTGTGCCGGTTAGAATTTTCCTAACATTTTAACGAAGTCATTACAAAAAAATGAACAAGACTTACCAAGCTCGATGATACCGGCTTAAGAACCGCTAAATCGAACTCTCGAAGCTCGTTGCTGAACAACAACAGCTCAGTCAGCTGCGACGACACGGTAACATTAAACCCCGGCCTCAACGGAAACCGTAGGGCTTGGAAGGCGGTCGGCGCAATATCCTGGACATAATCCGTCGATAACTGCAGCACTTTGAGCGAGGCAAACCCTCGTAACAATTCCGCATCCAGGTAAACGATTCTGCTGTTCGTAATGTGCAGCGCGGTGATGTGGGGCGCCACGTTCTGCAGGAGCTTCTCGAAGCGTGGTCGGGAACCATTGTTGGCGGACTGGAATCCCTGTAAGGTGACGGTCAACAGGGCGGGTCTGAAGGGGAGGGGCTCACAGTCATCATGCAGCGTATTACAGAAGTACGACGCGCTGTACGAAGGGCAGCCGATGCGCAGGGTCGCCACGTCGGGTACGAGGTCCACGGCGAAATCCCCGGGAAGGTTTTTAGTCCCCGTCGTGCATTCCAAGAGGGTTGGGGCGGTGGCGGTGTACTTGCAGCTGGGATGGGGGAGACAGGCGTACGGTGATACACACAGCAGTAGCGTGGCGAAGAGTATCGTTGGGCGACGCATGGTGCCGGTTTCCTGTGGCGCTGCAGCTTTCCAACTAAGCATCTGGATGCCGGCTACAGAACTTTAATTTTCATTCTGGTTATCGTTGGTAAAGTTTGTCTTGGAAAGGATAATGGATGAGCACATTGCTATCGTAAGAATGATAACTGTGCATTGCGGCTATCGAAAGTTTTGTTCCGTTATCAGCGGTCGCTGGTAGCCTAACGCTTAATTTTACTATGTGCTGCACAGTGCTGCTGAAGAAATAATGTATCTGTACGGATAAGCGGAACAATATATTTGATAGGACATCTGCTGTTGTTCAGATGCGGCGCACTTTTTATCCATTCAGGAATTTAATATATATATATTAAATTCCTGAATGGATAAAAAGTGCATTTTAAAATTTTAAAATTAAATTGCATTAAATTTAAGTCTTGCATTTTAAAATTTTTCTTTTGCAGCTTTTCTTTTTTAATTTTTTCGCAATGTTTTCTGTACTGGCTGGATTGTAGTAGCGCAACCGCCCTCGTAAGGGTTGCGGATTGCCTCAATGAAGAGTCAACTGCTTTCTAATTTTGGGGAAACTGTATTCTGATGTCATAGTATTCAAATACTGTAGTAGTATCATAGTATCTGAATTTTTCCCGCATAAACTATATACTCTAAATTACATTAAATTACATACATTAACTATATACTCGCACAATTCCATACTATAGACCGCGCAGAGAGGATTACAACTTACACGGCATACAATGTTGCACACTTGCAAGTTGTACGGTAAAAATATTAAAATTCTTGTTTTGCCTTTTAGCGGCAATATGCCTAACAATGTACATGTAAGCCGATGCCGCTTCGTGCAGCGTATTCGCCATTGCACGACGGCGTCTTTCTTACTGATTCGAGCTGGTATCCATGCGGCATGCAGAATATGTAAATTATAGTGCACGCCTTATAAACACCTAGATCGTTTGATACAGCAATTAGGTATTTTGTCCAAATTATTGTCTCTGTTGTCCGCTGCAGCAGCTGCGTAATAATTACCACCGTTCTTTTAGGGTGTAATACAAGGATGACAGACACAGAGAGGTGTCAGCGACAAACTGCCACATGCGCTACAGTATCCGCCTTTCGGGGTCAATTTTACCGAAGCAGCTGTGAAAAAAATTCGTAGTCGTAGGTCGATTTGATTATGAGTACTAATAGTATGAGGATGATTCACGATTACGAGTATTATCTGTAGGCTCAATGACGCTGGCTCATACCTAGCCGCCGCTTGCCAAGAGCTGCTGTGAAAGCACATCAGACGTTAAACTGCTGCTTTCTGTATTGTACCTTGTACATGACACACTTCGGTATTGTACTTTGTACATAGAATGCCACTTTTCCTGTTTCTGTTGGAGAAATACTGCAGAGATTTGCAACACGTTAGAAATACCGGGTAATAGGTGGAGCTCCGGTGCAGCACTATTACAAAAATTTGTCATTATACGTTTATGCAACGCTGAATAATTTCCAACGGCATGCCTTATCGCGCATACCGGTTTTAACGGACTGTGGTAATAACGACGGCTTGTACTAAGTCTTGCAAGTATGCAGCTGGTTGATGTTCAGAACAAACTGCCGTCAGTTCATCGTGCCAGCCAATTATCAGTACAATCAGCCGCTTACTCATGCTTATAACGTGGACAACAACAACTGCAGCCTGCGGGTTGTAACACGCTGATGTCAGCCGTAAATCGAATGAAATATTTGAAAAAGCAATTTTTGCCAGGAAAACGATCCAGGCAAAGGCAATACGTGAAGCCGATATATCGAGCGACATTTCAGATGTCAAAACCTATCCGGAATATTGTCGCCCCCGAATTGCCCGAAAACCATCACTAGCAAATTCATCATACTTTTGATTTTAAAAATGTTTATTTACCTTTCTATTGATCCGGCGCATCGTGCCGCAATTAAGCATACGAGACTTGCAGTCAAATTTAGAAATTGCCTTTTATTTTAGAGGATGTTTAGAAGCGAGCACCGCTCAGTAAATCACTCAAATTAATGAAGAATTTGTGCTAATTAACATGAAATGGTTCTGAAGAACTGAATAAAGGTTACAACTTACAAGTACTTACTAAAAATGGTTTTCAGATACCAAAACGCCAGAATAATCAATATCAGTAACCTGACCCACCAATAAAGATTCTTGATATGCAAACATTATAATTATATCGATGCACAGGTACTATTCCTAAGTAATTTTAAATAAATTCCAGCATCCCTGGGACATTTTCTTTCACCGCAACACACTTATGTAAATCTGCGGCTCCATGTAATATAGATATAGTGGCCGCTTGAAATGCAGAAAATACATGGCCAAATACAAGGCAGGGTAGAAAAGAAGGAGAAATTTTGCCCGTGAAGAATTTCACGGTGGTCAAAAAGAGGAAGGAATTTCTGGCGGGAGGAATTTCTCTGTGGTCATTTAAAGGGATGAGTTTTGACAAGTCAAAATAAGGGAGGATTTTTTTTCCTAATCGTAAAAATTAAATTTCAGCAGAAAAAAATCGGCCAACATTTTTCGACATCAGTTACTTTTATTTTCTTTTTTCTTACGTTTTTTCCTGTTAGAGAAAACTGAAATCGCAAATTTCTGGCCGAGATGGCCGAATTTCTGTTTTTTCCTTGAAAGGCTCAGTAAGATTAATTACCGTTGCTGTGGCATTCGCGGTCATTGCCTCCTTGAAGCTACTCGTACGATTATTTAAGTGAGACAGTATGATGAATGAATGAGCGACGGTCGCTTAGGTGAAACACCCGGGCTGTTAAATTCCTCAAACCGATTTTTATGGTATTTTCTTCAATCGATTAAGCCCTTTAGCTACGCTACATGAGTCACTGCACTACGCTCAAATAATTGCAATAATTGCAGCCACCACCATATGCGCGGCTGCCAATTCAGGTTGATTAATATTTACTTAATTGTTTTTTTCATTTCTTCAAAGTCGGTGTCTGTAAACTGAACTCGTTTTTCTCTAAATCAACCTCTTACACGGCGATCGCGGGACCGTCCTTGTATGGCGGTGACTGCAGTTTTTGGAGCGTAATGTGGCGTGGCATTAGCGCTTTCGTCAACGATTCCTTTACGACGCATTTGCAAAAAAACGGTTCAAGCTTTCTTAATAATTAAAAGTATTCTGTAACTGGTATGTCCTGTTTAATCTGATGAAGAAAAAAACGGAAAAAATCGGTTTGTGGAAGTTAATAATCCTGGCGTTTAACTTAAACGACCATCGCTCATTCATTTGTCATTATAGTGTCTCGCTTAAACGACCGTACGAGTAAAAAACTAGAGCTTCGAGGCACATCGTGCAGCTAACGCAGGCGTTCGTGATATACTTAAATGCGCTTTCCCATATAAGTTTTTCTTAAAGTCGACTTTCCGTCCGCACCATCGCCTAATAACCGCATATTTTGCCGTAGAATGTCGATCGTGGGTTCGCTTATGACTCCGACCAAGAAATCCTCCCAAATGACTCGCAAAAACTTCTGTTTGATTTCGCTTGTACTGCTCTCCACGATCATGCCGGCATTATGTCAGCTTGTTCTCCCATTGGGGAAATACACGTGGCTGGATCAGCGAAGTCTTCCTTCGGCGATGCCAACGACCCCGCTTAGCGTCCCCAATGGCCAGGTGCAGGTGCCGGCTGTATCCCGCAAAACAGCGGAGAATGGGAGTCCCGCGGACGTTGCATTCGAAACCTCCTGTGCCAGGATGACCTCGGCTGCAGCCCTACGGTGCCCCTGCGGAGGTGTCGGCCAGCGCTGCGCCGATGCGGCCTCGATCTGCGGTGCCAATCATCGTTGCATTTGCGATAGCACACTTGGATTCCAAGATCCTACCGGAACACGATGCATCCGTTACGCGACTACCAGTACGTTACAGTAAATTATGTATTTTATATTGTACTGATATGCCCTGAGGTAGATATGGCAGCGTTGGTTGAGAGCCGGCTAACCCGTGGGTTTAGCCGGCGATTAGCCAGTCGGCTGAGGGTTTTTGCAAGACAAAGCCGATCGCGTGGCGGAGGGCTCCAGCCATCTGTGGCTTAGCCGGTGGCCGACTAAGCCGGAGCGGCTGAGCGGCGGCATTGTCATGCAGTTTTTGCGTCAACTTCGGCGCCATCAAGTCTCTTGGTGCTCTTTCAGTCGCATTCAAGTAAGAAACGGCTAAAAAAGTATTTGCCATAGCTTTCCCGCAGTTTTAACGTGAACGAGTTGCCCGCTGGGACATTATCAGACAGGAATTCCCAAATAACTGTGGATTTTTTCAACGAAGTCGCTTAACAAAGAATTTTCGCAATAATAACAAAACAGTTTGTGATATTTTGTGTATGCTTACCACTCCGCGATGATGTGGCTTAACAGTTCAAAATTTTTTTTGAAAAGCGCTGAATTTTTTGAATATTGAATATTACTTTTTTTGGTTTTTTGGCCAAGCTTTTATGTAGCCGGCGGCCGGTCGGTTAAAACAGCTGGGAAATTTGGCTGGCCGCTGCAGCCGGCTAAAGACTTGAGCCGGTCGTCTGCCGTTTAGCCGGCCACTCTCATCTCTACCCTGAGCCCTGAGGGCAGAGACGAATAGCCATCGCTTTCTGCAGACAACTACAATCGGGGGCACGGCAACTGCCTTATTAATTACAGTATACTTCGACAAATGTATTATATGATCTCCCTACAGAGTACAGGCGCTTATCTGGGCCCCCTTCCAGTTAAACAGCTGCAAAACTGCAAGTATTAAAGTAACCGTTTTTGTGCACGGTTATTTAAATACTTGCAGTTTTGCAGCTGTTTCAACTGGATATGCGCCTGTACTCTATAGGGAGCCCATATAAGGCATTTGTCGATGTACGAAGTACCGGTAGTTTTTGATACCGAATACTGACCTAAAAAGCGTTGATTATTAGCAGCGCCTTTCACGTGCCCGCCCTGTCCGGTAGCCACCTGTCCCGCCTGCACGGACGCCAACTGTCCGCCCTGTTCAGCAGCCACCTGCGCGCGCTGTCCTTGTTCGGCCGACACCTGCTCGCGCTGTCCGGCCG